CTGCCTCTGAGGGATGACAGCTTTACCCTAAAAAAACTTCATTTATCTTAATCCATGGTCTCTATAAATGTCCCCCATTTTGTATAACCTGGTAGTAGTGCTTCAATGAGGTGCTTCCCTATTTGTGAATAGTTTAGTAAAGCCCATTAGGTCTCTACCTTTGTGAATTTTGACAATTAGCCCAATCTATGCATATGAGAGACGAACCTGCTTTTATGTCAGTTTAACATATCTACATTAAGCACTTCCCGAGACACTGAAAGTACGTATTACTTGTCTACCACCCTTAAATCATACTGATTTGGCCTTAGGAGTTGCCACTGTCGAAGTTATCAAATAAGGGAACTGGACAAAAAAAAAAAAATTATTATACTAAATTTAAAAAATTAACAGGCAACTAAAAATCAAAGTCATTCTGCAGGGGAGGGGGAAATAGAGGGATCAAAACTGAAGGGAGACCCAAGAGTGAATTGGTGTGGGAGTTTCATTGTACAAAAAGGAAGAATGATACAAAAGATACATACAATTGAAAAAAAAAAGTCTAATAAGTGAATACCTTTGTTAGACAATTGTATTAACTGAAGTTAATATGTGGCACTGGTTTCTTGAATTTCTATATCCATAGGACCTAGATTTCCTCAAAGATCCAAAGTAGTCAAATTCTAATTCCAGTTTCTGCCCTGGTGCTTTGTATCAAGATGTTAGTTGTAACTACACTCACCAAGCAAACACGTTCTTCCTGGGTTTGATTTTGGATAGCAGGAGAATGGACCCCGTGGTCTGGGAACGTATTTATCACTTCAAGTTTCCATCTCTTCCAAAAGTGGAATTTTTCACCAATCAGTCTGGTTTCCTGGTCAATATTACATGAAGTAATCTGTGTAAGACCCTGCTGTCTTCCCCTAAGAAAAGGTGACTTTGCTTTAAATAACTTTATTTTACCAATAACCTTGTGCCACCCCCTTCCAGAGTATAAAAATATTTCATTTTGTGTAAGCCCTTTCAGAACCTTTCTGCTGGTTGCATGGGATGTTGATCAATTCATGACATGTCTACTAAAGCCATTAGACCTTTCCATTTATTCACATTATTATTTTTTTTTAAAAATGAGATTAGATGGCAGATGACTTGAAAATGTGAAAATGCAGGCAAGGTCACGAGTCAAGGGGCACACAGAAAGCCCAGGAAGGCGACCTGGCACAGCCAACCAGGTGCTAAGCCGTACAAGGATTTGTAGCTTGCTATGAAAAGGTTAGCTACCATGGCTGCCAGGTGGCAATCCTTTCACTCTGGAGAAAACTAATTTTCCAAGTGTAAGAAATTCCCCTCTGCTTCTGTTCTACTCTTAAATTACCATTTCACATCCATCAGTATTAATGTCAAGGTACTTGCAAGCGGACTATCTGTGGCCATTGGTCTAGCTTTCAGAAAGTACATTAGGATGTTTCTTTTCCAGCTGTGATCCTCAAGGTGAGTGTTGATCAGCAAAAAAGGGAGCAAGATGGGCATTCCAAAAGTATCACAAGCTTCTCTCAAAGTTTAGCCTGCCTAACATTGAAGTTTGGCAGAAGATCGAAAATAACTTGTATCTACATCTTTGAGTTAAAGGTTATCGATGGTTTGGAATGGCTTGAAAATCTGCTTCCGATGGACTGCAGTCATACGGTTTTAAAATCTTGGTTACTGATGGCAAAGTTTATTTATTGGCTTTTAGCTACTCAAAAGATGGCATCCTAAGTATAGCAGCACTTCCCCACGTCTGGAATTTGCATTTTATTTCCAGTTATTCTGCTACCAAATATAGAGTACATTAATTCTGACTTTTCAGGGCATAGATCTTTAACTTAGTTATGAAGATGTCATCTTTAAGTGTTGTAAATACTATTGTAGCAACCATATTGAGATTCGTAAAGTAATGCTAAGTGATGCCAATAGGTAAGATGCTTCTACCTGTCAGGTTGCTAATATTAGATACTTCTCTACATTTAAGCAAAAATTCACACTCTTTAAAATGAATATTTAATATATTCATTTCATAGGTTTTGAAACCTTTTTTTCCTAAAAAACAAACAAGAACTTATTCTACAGAACCAAATAGGTCCCTTTAATGGTACCGCTGGTAAGAAAAATATTCAACATTTCTTTGTTGAGATTTCCACAATAAGCTTGAAATAGAATTATGCACAGCTTGCATGATCATTATCAGATCGATTATTAACAACTCTCCACATGAAAGTTATTGATACTGTAATAGTTAAGAGTTGCAAAGTGGGAGTGGTCTTCTCATAAATCCCTCTGACAGTTTATCGCCATCCTTTTTCACCACCCTCATTAAACACAGCTGTGAAACTGATTCTGATGGCAGCATCTACACAGAAGGTGAGAGGAGACTTTTCAACAGTTCGACAATGTAGAACAGCTGCATGTATTTCTACTACTTGGATGTTTTTTAGACAATACTTACAACCTGTCTGAAGGGTACCATACATTTTTTACTGCCAGATGTAAAGCAAAATGAAATTTCCGTGTCAGAGAATACTCATCTTTGGGAAAGTACCTTCCTCCTACATTGCCATTAATCATATATTTATAAAATAATAAAAACTCCCAGGCCTTTAGTTCAAGGATATAGGCTTTTTCACTTTCTAAATAAAAGGTTGTATGTTTGCCCTCTCAACTAGCTATTACTTACACATGTATTGTTACATATTTCTACACCCATGTATGTGCAAACACACTGATTTTTTGAAAATGACTGGAGGCTTTTCTTTAAAATAAACTCAACACCCATTGAAAGGAAATAAAAATCTTCTAGTGGCAACTTTAAAACAGTATGTATCAAATCAGCTTTAATGTTGAACACTGTACAAACCCTATCCCACTTTAAAACTCTATAGCAATTATTCAGTTGTCTACAACACTGACAGTGGGCAGGAAGACCTCCATATGCACTGACTTGCTAGCCACCTCCTCTGTACTTTCCTGCAAAAGGTGAAGCATCCTTGAAGATACCGCTTTTTCATGACCAGATATTTTATGCTTAGAGAAAACCTAAAAATCAGAGGTTATCCACAAAGTAAATCATTTCAAACCAGAGACAATACATTTTTCCTCTTTTTTTTCTTTTTTTGCTCATTTATTCAAATTCACTGCAGGAAGTAAACACTAAAAGATTAAAAAACAAAACAAAAAAATTCACACTGTAGTATGTACAGTTTCATGACATCACATGAAGAAATTATATTTCTAATAAAAATGACAAATTATATTACTGAGCAGAATCGCATCAAAATTAGTTGTGTAAACCCCAGAATTCATACCATGAATGGTAATTTTAGTGCCTGTACTCCTGGTAATAATATGCTTTCAATGGGATTTAAAAAATTCATGAAAGTAGCTGTGTGAACTCCATGTTGAAAAGTGGTTGACTTGATTTTAAAAAGTTTTAAGACCCTTGGATTCAAAGCACATTCTTTCACAAAGCTTAAACCACATAAGTCATGTCCAGAAATGGAATACTGTCATGTTGGGGTGAACATCTGATCTGACGTGTTAAGACATTTTGCCAAATGCACAGATGCACAGGGTCCCCCATGCACTTTTCATGCAGCAGGTAATCACAACTTAAATAAAAGGTTTATTCTATACATTTGTCCAGACTTGCAACTGTATACAGACATGCACAATTTTTAAACCTGTCTGATTATATTTACACTTATACATGGAATATACAGAAACCAAAGAGATTGAAAGGCTTTTGTGTTGCATTAGAACAATACAAAATATGTATTTTTCATTAAGGAAATCACTATTTACATCACCTTTAAAAACTGATTTTAACATCTTCATGTAACAAGTCAATATATATATATACACATAATATATATATATATATATATATATAAAATATATATACTCTCACCAGTTTACTCTTCTGTAAGATGCAGCAGAGAATAAACAGGTAATGCTACCTTACTGATGTCAATGAGAGCTGTAGTACCCTTTCACAAATGACTTCATTAGGAAGAAATTGTCTAGATATCTAAAATAGTCCTTGAAAATGTGTCTATGTGCATCCTTGTATCTACATATGCATAAACAAAGTGAATTTATGGATGTATGCCCTTTCTCACTGCTCGTCTGTAAAATTATCCTGAAGTCAAATTAGGGACATTCTCTAATAAAACAGAACAGCATTCTTTGCGATCAAGGTAACTTATGTATTTCATATCCTTGTTCCTTTAATTGTTACTAACCAACCAACAAACAACTAAAGAAACAAAACAATAACAACGCTGGCTTTTTATGTTCTTTTCCCTGACCTAAATGTCACCCCCTTGTACAAGCCCATTTTCCCCTAACTAAACGGGGAATATCAACATTTTCCTAGTATAGCTCTAAGGCTCCAGACTTTCACAATGGCAGAAAAAAAGGACTTCTTTAAAAGCTTATTTATAGTGTAGACAATAAGACTGTCCCAGAGTCAATATGGGATGAAGCAGAATACACTCACTGGCCAGTGGAGTTTTCATTTCAGAATAAACATACACCTTCATCTCTCCGTGATGTAACATAATATTCACTCCTGACAATTATAATATATCCAGTAACTATTTACAAATCATTTTGAGAAAAAAAATAATCATTTAGGGTTTTAGATCATCTTAGGAAATAACGCCCATTTTTTAATATAAAAATCTTAGAAACAACTTCAAGTAGAACAACTTCAAATAGAGTTCCTCCTAATTAATAGCTGATTATATAACAATCTTTTGATAGGTCAGGTGCTAACCTGGTTCACAATTAAAAACATAAATATTATCTGGTGAATGAACTATTGGATTGTAAAAAGTGAACTTAAAAACACGGAGTTGCTTCAAGTCAAAACCCCATGTGGCTCAATAATATATTAAGTTCTCCCAAGACAACATCAAGTTTGCTTTCAATCACTATTTTAAAATAATAGATCCAAAGGAGTGATTGTGTATAATTCTGTCATGTTTATGTGCCCTTTGTACTTTTTATTTAGTCAATCTGAGTTTAGTGCCTTTCTTGGGTTTGAAATAAATGCTTTCATCTTTGTCAGCATTGTTCTTAGAACAATGATTTTAATAGAAGTTAAGGATGTATTCAGGAGAAGTTTCTAAACCATCCTGGAATCACCTGAGTTTGGTAAGTGGCCCTGTTGTTCCATCCCTAAGGCTGATTAAGTAGATGTTACTCATTAGAACACATAAATAATCACAGATTTTCCTGAGATGTTGAGCCAGATATGAAAGTTGTCCCCTCCACCCAATTTTTTTGTTGTTGTTGTAAAAAGTATTCTGAACCCGATTTCTAAAGATATAACGGTAATATATGAACCACAATATCCCAAATTTTGAGTTCAGGTGTGACTGTACTGGGGAAAATATAGGCATCAAATAGCATTTTTTTTTTTTAACAGTCCTGTGTTCTGAGAAAAGTCATAAGCAATGATTCTCAAGCTTCAGTGTGCAGAAGAAACACCTAGGGAGTGTGTTAAGATGTAAATGGAAGATTCCCAGGTTCACTTAGCAGAGATTCTTGTCTTGTAGATCTGGGATGCTGCCTAGGAACCAGCATTTTAAAACAAGTGCTCCAGATGGTTCTAATGCAGGAGGTCTGAGTCCAGCTTTAAGAAACTCTGGTCATACGACTCACAGGTACCACAGAAATGGTGAGAAGTGATTTTTATAAGAAATGATGAGAATTGTCCAAAGAAATGCCATTTTGCTTCTGTTAAAAAAAAACTTCTTAATATTCAACTATTCAGGAAACCACCTGAAGATAAATGTTAACTTTCCTAATTCTGTAAAAGGAGGAATATTAATTTAGTAAAGTAGTTAAAATACAAAAATGGAAATCTTTCTTTTTTATTTTTTAAGGATCTATCAAACTTCCATCAAGTATAATCAATTTTTACTAAGTAGTACAAGGTTTAAAGAAATATATATTGAAAAGGACAAGGGTGGGACAGACACACTGGGAACCACAAAACCCCTTTCAAGAGTTTAAAAATAATTTTTTTTTTTTAGCAAAAGTGAAAAACGTAAGCATATTTTTTTTTCTAATTTGTTTTTGAATTGGACAACAATTAGTGAATCAGCACTCGGGTTTAATTCAACAATGATCCTTTAAAGAGTAATTCAACAATTTGGACTTTAAAAAGTGTACTATGTAGGCCGACTTTTGAAAAGCAAAAGAAAGTCCCCTCATAAAGGCAGCAAAATGTGTTAATCCACTATGGATGGAGATTTACACTTTAATTTTTATGCCTATTATTTGTGATTATAAAAGAATTTCATTCATAGGCTACTCACAGTTGCTGTCTGATGCATACAGAAGTGTTAAACAACTTGCTAGTTCAGTAGTTTCCTCATGACATCTAACATAAAGCAAAAGTAGTATGCAGATTTAAACATCACCAGTAACCAATACTTTTCAAAATGAAAAAAGTTTCAATTATACCATGCTTTCATCAAATCATGCTCTTATTTATACAGATCTCAAGTTCATACTAATTAGTTTTAAAGATCCGAAGCTAGATGGCAGGTACATTTTATTCTGATTCCTTTTTTATTGTTAGCATGTTTCCCAGAAGTCCATAAACTTCTCCATTTGTACTGTGTGAACGAGAGGCATTATTTCCCATATGGCTATTATAAGAGCTTCTTAAATTAAAGAAAGAAGCTTTCGTTTCTGCAGCAGGAAGTAACTCTTCTTTGACAGTAACCTGTGAGACGCTGTCAGCAGATGGAGGCTCCCTCCAAATGTCCTTGTCCTGTGTTTCTCGACTGGTAACAGAATTACCTCCTTTCTGGAGCATGTAATACAGTATTGGGTTAGTTTTGGTCAGTCTTGGAGAGTCTTTCTCATACTCATTCTTGTCAACATCTGTGATGACCCACTTAATGGGTCCCTTCTCACTGGGCATGGAACACCCATTCAGAAGCCCAGATTCCTGTCTAGACCCCACACAGCCCAAGGGCTCAGGGAAAGAAGGGCTCACGGGTGTTTTAACAACTCCTGCATAAGGAAATGTCCTGTTATCCGCACAACTGTTGGGCTGCGAGGAGCTGTACGTCAGTCCATTTACAGACGAAATGCTGAATTCAGGCTTGCTATTGGTCACATTATTTTTGTGTCCTTTCTTTTTACTGTCGACAACAGAGTTACTCCTATGTTGGGACAAATCTCTCACACAGTTTTCCGAGAGCAACAGCTGTTTCAGGACGTTGAAGCTCTTGCTCTCTCTGGCCCAACTCCTGTGCTCACTTTCGCTGCCTGAACTGTGAGTGGCAGGATATTTAAATTCAAGATCATTTCTGCTAAGTTGTAGCTCTTGTTGGTTAAGCAAGGACCCACACAGTACCTCCGGAGCGCTGTGACTGTTTGACGCATCTACTAAGTTATTCTTCATCTTTTTGAATGGATTTTCCAAAGGCTCGGCATAAAGTTTTCTCTTCTTGGGGACCATGCAAAGATTCTTTGATTCTAGAAGCATCAGTTCGCTACTTCTGTGACTGCTGTCCAGATCATCTGCCAGGTAACTTTCTTGATTTTGCCTCAGTAATCTACTTAGTAGGCCATTCTTGGAGAAAGAGAAGTCCTGAGGTGATGCGGGCTCTGATTTAAAGTCCTCGGATGCTGGTAAGGCAGCAGCACTTCTCTGCATGGGAGGAGCCATGCCTAAGAATGGGGCACCCTTTGCGTCGTGGCTCAAGTGCACGTTTGTGTTATGAATGTGTAAGTCATCGCAAGGCTCAGATTTTATTTTTACCATCAATATTTGTTCACTTAAAGCTCTGTCTGTATGTTCCTGAGTATTTTCATCCCTTAAAGGAGTCTTCTCTTTCTTTTCACTCTTCCCTTTGTTGGGATTGCCCAGGAGCAACTGGAGGACAGTGCGCCTTTCCAGCAGGTTTTCTATCTCAGAACCAGAAAGTCCTGGTTCAGGCCCTGTTGCTGGACTACTGAATGCTTTATTCTCTTCAACTACACTTGTTTTATTTGTGAACAGAGGACTATTTAACCTGTCAACCACACTTACAGGTTTATCTGTGTTGACACCTAGCAGCTGTTTACTGTGTCTCTGTTCTTCTGCTGACGTGGAAGACTGCATTCCACACTGTGCTAAATTCTGTAACAGTTTACTGGCACTGAAAGTCGCAGGGTTTTGTGCACCTTCATTTTGGACCGACTTCTCTCCTGGTGATTCTTTGCTCTTTGTCAGGTCCATGAGGTGCTTAGATGTGGAATTTGCTGTTGGCTTTTCAGACTGAGTGCTGCAGGTATATGGCGGGGAATTCCATTTTATGACCAGAGAGTGTTGGGAAAGGTTGATGGGAGACTCTGCTTTGGTGGAAGCAAGTAAGGGTGGAGTGCTCACTGGAGTAGTCCTGTTTGTACTGGGGCTTTCGATTACAGAAGTCCGCATGTAATTCTGTGCACTGAACTTTGTCACGTCGCTGTGGGCTTCCTGAGGGCTGCTGTTTCCTTCTACATTTTCTTCATTTTTATGGCCAAGTAGCAACTGAAGAAGTGTTACTTTCTGGTGTGAATTTAGCTTAGAGTTCTTTGAGGTATCTTGATCTACTTTGACATCAACATCAGGAACTTTGGGATCCCAAGTATTTAGTAAGGATTGGGTTAAATTATCCAGAGAAACAGGTTGGTCAGGTTCTGGTTTCTCAATTCTGTGTTTGCAAGACAGGTCTATGGGGACACAGTTGGAATAGGAACTCTCATCACCACTGCTATCATCTGTAAAACTAGGATTGTTATCTGAATAGTCATCAATAGTTGTAGGTGTACTACTGTCTTCAAAGACGCTTCCTCTCTCACTGTGATGGTGCCCGTTCATCGGTTTAGGTATAGTCTGGCTTTTAAGAAGATGTAAAAGCAAACTATTACTAGCAGCTTGTTTTATATTGTTTCTTTCCAGTGAATTCTTGTAGCCTGCATTCTTGGGAGAGGAAGGAATAATACTCATTGGATTTGGAAAAGCTGCACTTCTGCTAGTCATTAGTTTACTTGATGTTCTCGCCTGACCATTAAGATGGTTTGACATTCCTTTTGAGAGTTGGAAACTGCCAATGTCCTTCTGGCCGTTCTCTTGTAATCTGGCCATAGCAGCAAGTCTTTCACTGGCCGCCTGGTTTGCATTTTGTGTTTTTAAAGCATGTTCCCGAGAATACTGTTGCAAATGGGCTTCACTTGAAAGGAGTAATGCTAACTGGCTACAGGCAACACTAGGTTTGGGGGAAGTGGCAGGACTAGCCCTTTTTTCTACCATGCTTGCAACAGCCTGTAATCTCGCAGCACATGACAAGGGTTCACTCATGACCTTTGTTCCACTTTGTCCAGTGTGATGAGGTGACTCCACAAACTGATCTCTGATGAGGGTTTTAGTTACATCAGGAAGATTGGTATCAGGTTTTTGATCTTTAGCTTTACTTTTCTTCAACAAAGTTTTTAAGTGACTTGATGCAACACCGTAGCACCTTAGATCTTTCTCCATTTTTAAAGAATCATGACTGAGGGCATACCCTTGCTCTTTGAGGCTCTGCCTAATTTGTTGTGATAGAGCAACTGTCTGCAGCCTAGAGCTGAATGACTGAAGCAAAGAGGCCAGTAACGTACTATCCTGTTTGCCTTTCGGCACACTGTCAACCATGCCAGCCAGCAAAGCTTCCTTCTTCACGTTTAAATTTACGATGGAATCAGACAGCCTCTTCCGCTTTGCTGCATTCCAGTCCTCAGAAGACTGTAGTAGCCTGGCTTTTTTGAGATGCAGCATGCCAGATCCCTGATAGGTCTGTGTATTGAGAACTGGACCATTATTCTGACAGGTGGGGAAAGTGTTAGCAGAAATGTTAAAGTTCTGATCTTCTTCATTATGCCCAGCAGACTTTTTGTCGATGTCAGTACCTGATCCCTCTGCTGCCTGATGCATTAGTAATCCTTCTAGGTAAGTTAAAACAATAGAATCCTGGTGCACATCAGAGCCAAGCTCTTCTCCATGAGTCATGTTCAATAGAAGTGTTCACAAGGGCTTGGCTTCTATTCACTTTAAAGAATGGTTTTCTGTGAAAGATGTTACTTTAATAAGTGAGTGTCAGTTTATCACCTTCCATAGTAATTAGATACAGATGTATACTACATGCCGACCAGGCTTCTTTCAGCAATGAAAAAGATAAAAGGCAGCCAAACTCCAATGCAGTCTGATGAGGGCTGACCAACTCCTAAGCAAGAAGCAGCAGAGTATTTTATCACACGGGTCTGCAGCAGTAAGCAGATACACTCTTTAGTGAATATTCACTTCTTCTTCATCCTTTGTTCCCCATTAAATGCAAATATCAGTGCTCTAAAGAAATAAAAATAAAACACATTAAGGAGGTTCAGAAGTAGGATTATACTATGATACCGATAAACAAAAAAACACAGTACTTAGACATTTCTAGGTATATATAATACATACATATATAACATATATAAAACAATAATATAAATTCATATGCACAAGTCATATCTTGCATAATTTATTTATTGCTACTTCTAGTAATTGAAAATCTCTGCTGGAAATCCTATGGATTAATCTATACTGTTAAAATGTCAAATGGATTAAAGAAAACAATCTTATATAACTGTCTTCTAAGTCCACCACATTTCTGAATTTTCCTAAGCACATTTTTTGCAAAGTCATGTGAATGCTAAGCTTCCCTTATAGCACAATACAAAATTGTTTCATGAAGGAGTCAGATTTAGTTTCTTTACATTACTGGGAACTTATGAGAGGAATTGGAAAGAGAAAATAAGTGTGCATGACAAGAACTCAACTGGTAAATCAGATGTGGGGTTGAGCTGACCGAACAGACTCACTTCTGCAATCATCCTTCAAACATCAGACATCTGTCAATAATTTGTACAATTCCTGTTGTTAAAGGAATGGAAGCACTAACAAGTATAAGATTATTTTGCAGACCTGTGCAAGATATGACAGTCTTCACCATAGTGATAAATACTAAAATATAATCACCATCTTATTCACCTGTAGTTTTTTCATGACTTATTAGAAATAGACCTGAGTGATTCTTTAGCAGCTATACAGGTTTCATGTGTCTGTGTTTACATTATTATTCATGCCTTCAGTAGAAATTATAGTGAGTTCCATTCCTAGCAGATGCAGCAGACAGGTAACAGGTAACCCTAGAGTCCTAGGATGTCAGGGATGTTCCTAATAGAAAATATTCTCCTCTCTACCAGGCTATTTTTGTGTGACTTTGTATCAATAATTATAAATGAATTAAAATATATGTGATATAAAAAAATTAAATGAAATTCATAATAAAAAAGTAGGTTAGGTTACTTTGACTAATTTTCACTTAGAAAATGCAGTCACCAGAATACACTTAAAAATGAAACCATCCTGCAGAAAAAAGGGCAAGGAAAAAAAATTAATTACCTCCTGAAAACTCTAAGTCAGGGTGGTAATTTTAAATTAATTCCTTGAAAAGAAATTTTATATACAGCCCTAGTTATATGAAGCAGTGAGAGCCAAAAGAGCTTTTCATAGAAATATATTTTCTAAATGCTGTGAATCTGTAATTCAGAATCTGTAATTCAAAGATTGTGGTTACTGAGATGCTCTTCATGAGGCAATCGGTGGCAACACCTACTGCCAGCCATTTTGGCAGAAAACGAAATGCTCAAGAAAGTAGGAATTCTGAGACAACTCAGACCCATCTATTTAAAAGCACTTTAGGGAACTGAGCGAGCCAAATTTCTTCAGATAACTTCTTATCCCTTAAATAACAAAAGTGGGAGAAATCATTAATAACGCTACATTCCAAGTCTTGTCTTTTCATTTCTGTGGCAAAGATTTTAGGAGTGGGTCTCTCCCAGGTACACAGGAGGCATTGCATGTTATTATCAAATCTCTTTCAACCTTTTTTCCTCTTATCACTTTGTCAGGTACTTGTATGATTACAATACAAAATTTAATGAAGAAAATTTAGGGGAAAAAATAGGACGCATTTTATCTGGATATAAAACAGCTCATTGAGATTTCCAGATTATTAGAGTAGAATATAAAATATCACCCCACCTACTAAATAGATTTCTTCAGGTTAAAAATCATTTAAGTTACTCAGTACTAGCCTGACTCATTTTCTTTTAGCAGAAAAACAACCACATGATTTTTGAATCACCAACCCAGCTTGCTTCCTTGATTTTTATATACTTTAAGAATGTTGCCAGATGTTTAACAATAGCTGAGTACATTCAATTAAAGATAACTAAATGTCAATTCCCAATTAGGCTTCCTTAGTGATTCTTAAGCAATGTATTTAAGAACTGGAATATGTCATTAAAAAAAAAAAATGATTCACTGGTTAGTGTGTGGATCTTCTGGCTTGTTCCTAACTTCAACAATTCTTTTACTATAGGTTGTCTATATGTCTGTTTAGAAACAGTTGACATTATTTTTTAGAAACACAGCAAGAAATCTTTTCTATACAGCATACACCTGTTAAATAATTTCTATTTAAAGGGAGCAGAATTATCCAAAATACTGAGTTTATGGAAGTAAAAGGGAAGGGGGAGGGGACCAGAGTAAAAGTACTGAGGGAACAAGAAAAAGAAGAAACAAAATTACTAAGAACAAATGAAAGTGTCAATTCAGGCTTGGGAACATGTAGTTTATAAACTAAAATAGATCATACTGATATGCAAAACATTTGCCTGGTAGGTGTAACAGGCAGAGTAAAAATTTATTTAATGAGTACTGAAAATAAATATATTAGAAGGGAGAAAAAAGCCCCAATTGATAAAATAAAAGCTCAACGGAAAACGTTTGTTTCAATCAAGCTGTCATGTTTATAGGATGGTTCCTTAAAATTTTTAGAAATATTAATTTTAAGCAAAAAATTTAGTGTAACATGTGGTATTCTTAGAAGTGACTTAATTTTGATTTTAGAAGTAACATCCAAAATCAAAATCAACTCTTCATACATAATTTTAATTTATTCATTTATACAAGAAAAACAAGCATCATCATTTACCATCCAAAGAACATTTTATTAATATTTTATTAATTATTAATAAATGATTATGAATAATTTACAAAATAATAATGGAATATTATAAAAGAACTTTATTAAAATTTTTCATACAATTTAAACTTAGCAAATTTCTTTGTTTCCAGGTCTTGAAGAACTACACATCTGAAATGAACTGGGAATTTTGATACTGATAGCTAGTGATTGTCACATATGAAATTGGAAATTCCTATAAATATATTTAAAATATTCCTGATTTTAAATAAATCTAAAAAGTTCTAGCTTTATCATGACTCGGGGTCTTTTCTGTTTTGTATTTGATTTATACTTGTATAAAAGTGCTACATGGTAGTTAATTAGGGTGAAGACAGGACAAATTTCTTGTTCATTCCATGACAGCAACACATTTTTCTTTTTATTTATTGACACCAATACCAATCCAATGAATTGTGTATTCATTGATTTCCAGTTTCTTTTATTCCATACCTACTTTCTGTATTTTTTCATGTATGAACTTTTTCAAATAAAGTTGGGTATATGAAGATCATAAAAGGGGAATAGTGTCACATATCATTTTTGGCAATACAGAACAATCAAGGTTTTATCACAAAATGCGGAATACTGAAAACCTTTCCATTAAACAACAAACTGCATGAAAATACTGTATTTCCCTTTTGTCTTACCATATGGTAACTGTGAGATAAAGGTTGTGTTAACTAACTTTACTATGTCAGTTATTTTGCAATAAATATAGACACATGTTAAATCTTCATTTGAATTTAAAAAAAAGTTGTAAGTTCAATTTTACAAAGCTGTAAGTTCAACTATATCTCATCAAAGCTGGTGTGGGAGAAGGACCAATATTGTTCACTTGTTGATGCCTGAGTTTGAGAATGCTTGCATAGGATACTGTCATCTGATGATGACAGTCAGATGCTGCTGATACAGCCATTATCGGCATCATCATTTATGCCTAGGGTATTACTATCTGACTCTTTGCATTCATTCTCAATCTTCCATCTAATCTTAGCATCTTCCTGTACCAACTTTCTTTTTGGCATTGTGGATGGAAAATGAAAAGCACTGAATTTTCTATTGTGCTTATAAAACTTAAAACAAAATAGAAAAAAATTTGAAACAAAATAGAAATACAAAGATATTCTTTGTCCAGACTTTGTTTTCACATCTTGAAGTAGTATTAATAAGATATACAATAAGAAAAGTTTAGATGACATTATAATGATTTATTTCACTTTTGTACCATCCTTCTAAGCACTTCCATTATTTTTCTTTTGGCTTATTATTTCAGTTTTCATTTGGCATAACTGAAAATAAATGAATTCATCTTCAAGATGATAAAGTGGAAAAACTTTGAAGACCAAGGAAAACAAGGTCACTAAAATTCTATAATGCACCGTCTATTTATACAAGCTTCCAATGGATAGATATGGTAATAGCAAGATACCAGATGCTTTTCTGTGAAGAACAGAAATAAGTGGCCAGAAATAAATCCAAACATATATGAGCAACTAATTTATGACAAAGGAGATGAGGATATACAATGGAAAATCTCATCAACCAATGGTGCTATGCAGCCTTTTATTTTCCGTATCTTATTAAAACTTTCAAGATCTGGGGGAAAAAAGTGGCTGGACACACATTATCTTTGTATTTCTATTTTGTTTTAAGCCTTTCTATTTTGTTTCCAGGCAATAAAATGAAACTAGGCCCTATCATACACCACAAGTGAAAATTAACTTGAAATAGATTACAGACTTAGATGTAAGACCTGAAACCTTCAGGATATAGAAGAACACATAGGTGAAATAATCCAGGACACTGGCTTCATGAATGTCTTTGAGGATTCAACTCAAATAGCAAGGGAACAAGAAGATGAAAATAATATATAGGAAACTTAAAAATTCCCACCTTGTCATCTTAATCAAAGTTAAAAATTTTCATACAACAAAAGAACTACCATCAAAATGAAAAGACAGCTCATGCAACAAAAGAACTACCATCAAAATGAAAAGACAGCTCATGGAATGGCAGAAAATACCTAAATGCCAGATATTCAGCAAGGATTAATATCCAACATATGCAGAACTCACGTAACTCAACAAAAACAACCAATTTAAAAAAATGGGCCACAGATGTCTGAATGGACATTTCTCCAAAGATGAAATATATCTAGATGGTCAACACAAAGTCACATTCACTATCACTAACCTGAAACTACAATGAGAGAGTACATCACACTCATTAAATTTACGATTATTAAAAAGAGAAGAAACAACAAGTGTTGACG